ACAGAAGAACCTCTTCGTAACGGACTTGGAGAGACCGGCCAAAACGGTCCCCTATACCCGGAGCCCGTTCTATCCGAAAATGGGTTCTAAATCGATATGGAACGTGGAAGTCAACGGGAACATGCGGTCTGAACTCCAGTCCCCTCGACACGTCTCATGCTCATGAGAGGGGGGCCCTCTCATGTCTCCCCTGATGAAGCAGGACCGAAACATTCTGGTCTTGGTCAAAACATCGTTTGGTCGTGGCATCACCAAATCAGTAGCGGAAAATGAGCTCCCCAGTGATGTCTTCCGGCGTTGTGAGGGACGGTTCCCCTCTACCGACCGCCCACTCCCTCCCGCTAGCATGAACTTGATTCTGTTATCTTTTCTCTACCTCAACCCCCCTCCCCTTTGAATAAAGGTGCTTTTGAATTGAATGAATTGAACATAGCAGCAGCCTTGCTTATAATTAGACGAGCGGGAGCATGCGGGAAACCATGTGAATCGTCCGATGGGGCTATCGCTTCCAAACCTCCATTGGCAAGAATTGGTCCGTCACAACCGATTCGACTAGCATGGGGGTAGGTAGTAGGACCGGGGCCAGGAAATCAGTCTGCTCGACCCGACAGTCATATTATTGGGTCGGCTCTAACCGAGCCACTCTAAATCGAAGATCCCAACGCCTCGTCCGAGACCGAGCAACCGGTCTATGCTACCGAGTGCCCATCATGAGTCCGTCATAACCCTACAGTTCTACAGCATCCGGGGACGCCTCCATAATTATACGGGGCCGGTGCTCTCAGTAATATGTGCAGTCCTTCTCAACTCGTGGCCCTGACGGTAATCCTCTCTTCGCGAAACCCCGATGGGTCGCAGAGTTGGATTAGGGCGATCGGCACCCGGAAATAGGGAGGTCTGTTCCCGAACACCATGATCAGGATACCGTGGAGGAGGAAGATCTTGGTGACTAGGGAAATCGGCGATGATCTAAGCACGGGGGGACGTCTGGCGATCCTGATCCCCGGAGCCCAGAGATTGACTGGGAGCTCTCTCACGCGGAGCGGGCGGAGAGAGTGGTGACGACCATAGGGTGAATGGCTCCCAGGGCAGAAATCATCGGGGAAATTCGGTTTTATTTCGGTGGGGGACGAGGCGCCCCCGATGAAAGGCGCCCGAGGCTCATTACTTATCACTGTCTTCTAGGAACGCTACACGGCGGGAAGCAGGGTCATGTATGCTAGAGCTTCGATCCGGGAAATGAATCAAAGGGAGACTGCGCCCTTTGTTGCTTTCTCATTAGACCTGACCTGATCACCTCCGAATAAAAAACGCTTCAAATCCAGAGCTGTGCGCCGTACCCAGGACGCGGCGCTATAGAGTCAATGGTGAAGCGCCATGACACGCCGCGGCGCTTGAGCATTGTGGCTATGGGACTTGCAATGCTCAGCGCGACGCACGGCTCTGTTCAAATCACACGCCGGTGTCGCGACTTACGTCCAGAGCGTGATCGACTAGCTCCCCCATATTCTAAGCAAAAAGCCTCCAGGGTTCATCACAGATTATTTTACTCCGATTGGACTCAGGGAATTTTCCTCGCAGTTTTGATGGTGTGCACTATCTGCATCGGTTTTCCTTGAGAAGTCGCAGCAAACGTGTCTGAACTGCAGGTCAACAGTTCCTTGACGTCTTGGAGAGGCTGGGTCACCTGGAAGATTCGTTATCGGGCTCAGGTCCGAGGAAGGATGGACAGACGAGGGGAGATAACGACTCGACGCCATCTTGAACGAGCTCGAGCTCTTCTGGGAAACTCACCTCTACCATGGAAAGATCGTCGAGGACATCACACAAATATCCCAGGTCGATCGCTAACTGATGGCAAGTTGACTCGGGTAGTGAGGCTAGCTGCATGACTTCATTTATCGTGATGTTGGTCACCTCTCGACATGCGTACTCCAACACTGAGTGGCTGATTCCTTCAGCATTTCCCTGAATCAAAAATGGGAGGAGGCTATTCTCCTGATCGAATTCCAGACTCGCGCCGCTATCGCGTGACGAGAACTCACGAGCACAAGCTCTGTATTTACCGATGAATGCTCTTCGTCCGCAGGTGAGTTGGTTATCTCCACGTACTGCGGCAAGGTCATAAGATATTGACCGATTTGCGTCACATATTCCAGAGGGGCAGAAGCGAAGTTTGGTGTTTTCTCTGAGGATCTCAGCGCGTTCGGCATTGCCTTCACGTGATCACTGACTCGTGACGTTATCACTTTGACTCCGGTACGCAGAGTGTCCTGTTCAAGCTTATCCAACAATTGGATCCATTCTGACTGTGGCTTTGACGTCAGCAGCGCTTTATAACTGCAAGAAACAATATGTTGAGAGGGATGCCAGCTCAAGGAAATGCGTAAGCGATTCAATCGAATAAATGGAATCCGGGGGACTGAGATTTCGGCCTACCGCTGACGTAGGGACGGAGTCAATAAATTATTGACAAGATCCGAGAGTATTCCGTGTTTTTCTTTCATGTATGGAATCCGGCTGATTGTCACCTCCACCTGTGGGGAGAACATATTCGCTGATTCGCGAGAGGAGAGAGTACTCGACTCTGAGAGGAAAGGCTTCTTGAATTAGCACATTTGCAGCGACTGCTGAAACTCGCCTTGGTCGAGAGCTCGGCCACGGTCTTCCTGTAATTCGCCGCACAATTCACTCTCTGGAGAACTTCGTTGACCAGATCCCAGTGATCGAATGAGTCCGAATCGTTAGATATCTGTACGAGGAGACTCAGGTCTTTTCGGCAGCTTTCGACAAACGCTCGAAGTAGTTTCGAAGCCGCATCGAGGAATCCGGGATAACAGGAGCTTTGGGTGCGCTCGTTGCACGTCATTTCAGCGCTCAGCAGCAAGGAGAAGAGCTTCTCTCCGTTCTTTTTCAAAATCGAATGGAATTCTTGCAGCGAATACAAGTCGACGTTCCGGTCTGGAAACACTATGCTCTGCAGCTTCCTCTGAATTTGTTGCTCTTGATATTGTGCGAAACGACTCACTGCCGACCTCAAGAAAGTGAAGAGAGTACCGGCCAACTTCAACACTTCGGGAATGCTTCTGTGATTCTCGTCAGAACAGACAACTCGCTCCAAGGACAGCGCGAGCCGGAGCTGGATGTCGAGTATGTCAAGAACGGATTCCAAAACGTCTGCTTGCTCCGTCAGCCAGTTCTCGAGGACGTCCTGCAGGGGCGGCTCCATAGTTGTTAAAACATCGGAGGCCATCTCAGCACAGACGGCCCGAGCTCCGGAATCCGTGAGCGTCAAGTGACGATCCACGAAGACTAGTTGTTTCTCACACTCGGAAGTTAATTCTCGATGGAACAAAGAGAGAGCTTGTTTCAGGTTCGAGTGATTCTGTGAAGACCACAGTTCTTGAAGTCTGCGGAAGAGGAGAGCAGCTTTCATGGGGATGCAGCATGGAGGGAGGAGAGCTCTCCGGAGAACTCAATGAAAATCGTACTTCGGAATCCCAGAGCACTCACCGAGTTTTTATACAGCCTTGGTAGTATGAGAATGCTTGCTTCTCCATGCCAATCTTCCCGAATAATATGAACCATCTTGCGGCGTCCTCTTCCAGCATCGAATTGACTGCAGATACTAATCTAGGCGCCATGTTGGCTTCGATTCGGTTTTTGATGCTTTCCAGGGTCTGATTCTTCTGTTGGTAATCAGGCGCGCTCTTCAGAGTGTTGAGTGACCGTTCTAGCTGGACGACTCGCTCGACGAGGAGTTCGAGATTGTGCTGCTGAAATAAGGACTCCACGTCCGATACTAGAACCGACCAGGAGTCGGCTTCCCTCAGCGCAGTTTGAGCTTCTTCCATCCTGAAAATGAAGTTTCGATCTGAGCTGAGAATCTGACGGCTCTCCCGAGCATTCTAACGGTGCACCGACAGATTACGTCCAACTCTTATGGTTCATGGTACACACAGGATCATATCTACCCTCACCGTGTCTTGATGGTGTCGAGTAGGTCGAGGTATTGAGCACTTCGACTACTTTCCAATTCCTGAAGTGTGACGCCATGCTTGACGATCACTTCGCCGCGGAGAGCGTCGAAGTCTCGCTGCAGCTTCCCCAGCAAACCCGCCCGTTGGTGAATCTGCAGTCGAGACGATCGGAATGAGTCGACTCAAATTACGTGGCGTCGAACGAAGGAGCTCATTGGAATTCGTGTATCATCTCTCAGGACTGTCGTTTTCTCTGCATGTTTAAGAAGGAGTCTTCCGCACTCACATTATACGCGGTATCGTGGAGTGATAAAGAAAGTTGATGAATGAAAAGCTGGAGTTTGAAAGAAACTTCATGAGCCGTTGATTCGATAACGGCTTCAGAAGGCTCGAGAGGATCCAGAATAGAGTTCAACCACTGGACGGCTGAGAAGGACGACTCAGCGAAAGACGACAACTCCATCTGCGAGTGAACGTGAGGTTCATTAGATAATCTCGGGAGTGACCCATCTCAGCACTAAGGCTTCCGGAGCCGACAAACACAACGGTTAGCATTCGTTGATGAGAGAAAGACCCTCCAAGACGCTCTCCAGGATACGACGATGTCATGGAATACCTTCACATTCATCCTGACTGTAACGCAGTAGTCGAAACTTGACGATGTGGCATCATCCAGAGAAAATGCTTGCCAAAGATTACGACTCTACCCCATCGAAGAATTATAAGGAGAACTCTGACCTGCGCAGTGGACCATCAGCCTCCTCGGGGTATCGAGAATCCAGAAGATGGGAAGAGAAGGCAGAACAAGAGAGGAGCACGGATGCCGGGAGACAGCGGATAGAAGAATCAGCTGTCTCGAGTGGAGGTGGGCTTGACGTCTGATACTCCGCGCCGACTTTTCAGAAATACGGACGACCGCTCGAGGGGCTGCAACACGTCCTTCCGTCCAGGGAAGTGCCGGCTCTGTGAAGGAGCGAACAAGAAATACGGGAATGAAAATGATCGAAAACGGAGAAAAATCTCTTTTTATGACATTGTACACAATGATGCTGATGATCGTTGATGAAAGTCCGATGAGACTGTTGGGGCGATCCGTCGTCCCTCCGTCCGACTTTCTTCGCCCACGGTGCCTGAGCAATCCGGCCCTTCATCGCTTTCCCTTGAGCCGCGCCCAGGAGCCAGATCCCTATTTCCGAACTTCCGATGCAGTGGGGGGCTCCATTAGATTAGCAGAAAGCTGTGCCACGGTACGAGGCCATCAGCTTAATTCACGAGCTCCGCGGTAATCGATTCCTCCATCTGAGCCAGGCTGCTATCGATCGCGGCCAGATGCTCGACACAGACGGTGAAATCAGAAATGGAGGAAGTTAGCAGGAGTTGCAATCGACCGGGGTACCGCCTGAAGAAAGACACCTGATACGAGGGACAACTCAGAGGACCTGGTGGAAGCTGGACCCCGAATCTAGGAGCGCTTAATGAAACGGGCCATACGACGGCTTCCCTCCGCTGCTGGACAATGACGCGGTCTTCCCGACGAGCTGCAGAACAATGACGCGGTCTTCCCGACGAGCCGCAGAACAATGACGCGGTCTTCCCGACGAGCTGCTGAACAATGACGCGGTCTTACCGACGAGCTGATTCCCAGCAGAAGCCGTCTCTCTCATGAACATGACTGTCCATGTACATCTTCTTGTATCGCTGCTGCCCCGCTTCCGGCTCGGGTGATCGCTGTCCGTCGTTGCGGTTCCTCCGTTCCTCGAATGATGACAATGATCCGCGCAATCAGCTGGAGAGACTTTGTCTTCTCCTGAAAGTTGTTCTGAAATTGATTGGAGTCTATTGCGATTCTCCTTTTCGTTGGGCCGGAACAGATGCAATTTTCGACTCCTTTTGGAAGGTCACCCTTTAGAACAGAAGACGAGCCTCGGAGTAGTGAACAATGCATCGCTCGTCTTGAAGCCTAGGAACGATCTTCATATATGTTGAACCCATACAGATGTTTGCAGCTTTTTTCTCGAAGGTGAGCCGATGTAGCTCTGGTTCGGATTTCCCTCAGATTTCCGGAGCCCGATTCGGATTTCCGAGCTCAATCAAGAACTGTCAACAGGACCCTGAGTGAGCTCAAGCGGGAATTCCTGACACAGGTCTCCAATCGGCCCTGCTTTCGTGCGTCAAATGGCGAGCACAGGTCGAAGCTCTATCATCGGTGTGAATGAATATCAGAGATATGTGTGTTCGATTGTTCCCCCGCTCGATTTCAATCTGCACAAAGGTCAATGTGGACGGGTCGCGGTCGTTGGAGGCTCCGACATATACACCGGTGAGTAGATCCCGCGAAATCTTCCGATATATTGCGAGACTACATCATGCGATGAAGGCCGAGTGAAAGTCACCCATACGCTGGATGAGGCGTTCAGCCCCTTCTTCGGGACCTCGAAGCCCTCGAGTTTCGAATTCTCGATAAGAATATTGATTCTCGTCTGATTGAGAGCCCTTCGACCTCGTAGGTTGCTCTTCTTACTGTCCCTAAATTTCAGGAGCTCCTTATTACGTAGGGATGTCGGCTCTCCGACTGGGAGCTGACTTGGTCTACATCGTGACGACGAAAGTACGTGTCTGTGTCAGATACTGATAATAATATAATCGATGAGCTGGTGTACAGGAGCTCACGTCAAATATCCGACGATTCCGTATGCCCGAACTCGACGCTCTGAGCCAATAGACATAAGTTCCCTGAGTAAGAGGTCTTCGTTCAAGGAAGCGGCGCCGGTCATCAAATCCTACAGTCCGGAGCTGATGGTCTTGCCTTACTTGAACGCTCCCGATTCGTCGAAAATTTGTGAATTTCTCCTGCCGCGAGCTCACGCTCTCATTATCGGACCGGGCCTGAGATTGGATGCAGAGCTGGATGAAATTGTCTCGACCATCATCAAAGAGGTAGTTCGGAACGTATTTCTGGTGATTTTCTGCGCAAAGGCTGAATGCTCCCCTCGACGAGCCGATGCACACCTGTATCTGAACGTAGATGATTTCTTGCAGGCGATAAGAGCAAAGAAACCGATAATTTTCGATGCGACAGTGTTCCCTCTTCTCCGCCGAAAGTTGGAGCTCTTCAAGGGCTATAGTGGGGCCGTTCTAACACCCAACATCCCCGAGTTCAAGGACCTCTACGAGGCAGTTTTCCAGGTTAGATGGTACCGCTTGATTCATATCCGAGTACGGTGAAGTTTTTGAGGTGTCGGGAGACTTTCTCCCGGCCGTCGACTCCATCCCTGTCACCACGGCTCCTGTCTTCCAGAAAAAATGCGAGTCGGTGACACCAGACGCTGTCGAGGAGCTGGCCGCCAAGCTCGGAAACGTCACAATTCTCAGCAAAGGACCGACTGACATAATCAGCGATGGGAAAAGTTTGACAGTGACTGACGAACAAGGCAAGGATTGTTCTCAAGCGATCACGAAGCTTCGTCAACTTGGAGTTTCGATTATCCGTCTAGTCATTCCTTCCTCCCTTCTCCCTCGCTAAAATCAGTGGGTGACTTGCATTAAGGTCGAGACTCGATCTACCAGGTAGTCCGAGGAGGTGCGGTGGACAAGGCGACGTGTTGGCTGGTCTCTTAGGAACCTTCGTGTCGTGGGCCACTGATACTCAAGTGCAGAGAGTTTTCAACAAGAATTGTCCACATTCACCGCTTATAGTCGCCGCTCTCGGAGCATCCATGGTATGGTATACCGTCATTTTGGGGGGCATATAGTGGCCAGGAATCTTGACCGTACAGGCTAAGCGGATGTCTTCGATAATTTCGATTCAATGCAGGTGACTAGACGAAGTGCTAGAACAGCATTCAAAGACATGCGTCGAAGCACGCTGACCACCGACATCATTCAGGAGATCCGTGATAGCTTCACAGCGCTATTCCCCGTGGACTGACCGTTGGATGCATCTTAAGCCTCCAAGACGGAAAAGAGCCGAGGAGGCGCGTTTCGCTCAAACATTCGGATGCAATCATATCTACCTATTGACCGGTCGAGACTTTCCTCGTCACATTTTATTCAATCAATAAAAGTATTTGGCCTTGATGAGGTGAGCAATACGCTCGTATCAGACAACACAGACACGTGGACTTAAGGAATGTTCGCGGTGCCTACAATTTTCGCGCGAAAGTTGCTTTCTGACCTTCACGGACGCAGATCGGTAGAGATTCCGATCGCATTCCGTGGTTTCTCGCACGAAATCCTCCTCAACATCAGCGGTCAAAGTAATCTAGATGAGCGCCAGATTCGTAAGCTCCTTCCTCGATGATCTCGCAGAGTTTCGAGGTTGTTTGCTCCACAGTAAGGAGGGTGCCGCTCTCCTTGACTACCTTCGCTATCGCAACAACATCGTCTAGAGCAGACTTCCGGAGCTGATCCATCATGTCGGTGTCCAGAGGTCCCGGAGAGTATTGAAGAATCCGAATTCCCGGATTTTCCTTGAAAAATCAATGAGGGAGGCATGATAATTAATTGTGAGTTCGATATCGACTCGATTGAGTCTATGCCTTTGAGGATGCATGGACCTGATAGATCGCAATAATTCTCTTGTACCTCGGCCAGACAGGAGAAGTACATTTTCCGCGCCGCCTTCGCCGTACAATAAAGTCCTGTGCCTTTCATCGGTTTGATACCACATAGTGACGATATATTTATGAGGAATAGCGGGGCCTGAAAGTCAGACAGGAGATCCCTTGAAGCTTATGTTCCTGGGTGTCATCTGAATATAAAGAGGAACTATACCGGCGCGACATGTTGGCCTGCTCATATGAAGAAACTCATGCGACCGATTTTCATCGACGGTTCCTATCTGAACCTCCGACTTCTAGAATCCAGGAGGCGCCGCTCCCGTGAGTCATCCGATCAATATGAGGGGGCGCTTTTTTAGCGAGGATTCCGGTAAACATGATTGTGCTGAAATACTTTGTTAGAGCTCTTAAGTACTCCCTCACTTTCGACTTCGAGATCGCGGCCGAAGAGAGTAGCATGGGGTGTCGAACGTTCGCTCGGAGGAACCGATCGATGGCTTCACCATCTGTCTGCCCACACAAGGGACTGTCGATGTTTCCTGGATTGAGAGAAATACTGTCACGTTCCCCGCTGACATCCGCTTTTATCTCAGTTTTGGAGGATTTGGTTGGGAACACCCCTAGTCGAGGCGACTCCAATCAACTCGGGAATACAAACCTAGAGACCCGGCGTTGTGAACGACTACAACAGCGTCGGGCGAAATTTTCATATGCTCGTCGAACAACTCTTCATAGTCGGCAAAAGTCGCGTCCTCATTTCTACTCGTGAAAGAACGGAAGCTTATCTGTGAATAAATGGCAGGAGGAAGAATTCTATCATTCGCCATTCATTCTGCCAGCGCAACTAGTTCGGTGCAAAATGAGGAGTTAAGAGGGCCCGAGAAGGGTGTCAAGATACCTCAGGAAACTTCTGAGCGAATTCCCGGCACTTCTCTTGCAGCAAATCTGAGTTCGTGGCCGCAAGGACTACGACTGATCCTCCACCTAGTTTCTCAGAGAGTGCTCGCGCTATTTCCGATCCAAGGCCGCGTGACGCCCCGGTCACGAGCAGGAGACACCGTTTCCCGTAGAAGTTCTTCATGCTAGAGCCGAGTCTTCCTTGCAGCTGTAAGTTTATCGACGTTCAGACATACTCGAATGCATTTCCTTTGCAAGTATAGAGCTCCACAGAATCTGTATATCGCTTCCGTCAAATGCTCGCAATTGTCAGAAGCGATTGAGGCGGTACACTCACGTGGTGCCGGAATGGGATGGCTCCGGACAAGTCGATTGAGGTGTCCGCGAGAGAGCAGCCGTGACCCGGGATACAGGTCACCTGTCAGGAAGGAGCAAGTAACTGGTGCGTAGACCGAGCACAATGGGCTTCCGCTGTGGCACTTTGCGCTCCTCGTCCGAGCAGTCGTATCGAGAGCTCGACGTTCGCCGACGAGATTTCTCTACCCGCGAATTCCAAGCGTCCTACGTCTGCATATCGAAAAGACACCCCACCCCGCCCGATAGATTTCGCGACTGCTTCAATCGTCGTCTTGTTTGCTGCCCCTCTAAGATATGCTCTGCCCTCTTGAGTTCTTGAGTCGTTCTATCGAGCTAATGCTTCGTACACCGTAGCCCGACTATCTCATATGCTCCTCCGATACTCTCCCCAGGATGATCAGTCCCATGAGGGTTTCGATAACAGATGACATCTTTCCAGCAATCCATGGATCACACCCGAAAAAGCAGTTTGAGTTGAATCTCGATAGGTCACTACTTGGTTTATTCAGAGAGGAGAGCTGCATCGATTGCTGACGGATGTTGAGTTCCGTTCAATTCGCATTCCTGAGCGATAAAACGCGCTCTCGAGAAAATATTATTCCAGTGCCCCTCGTAAAATCACTGAAAGTCACATTCGGAGACAAGACAGACTTGCTTCGCTCCTCGGGGAAAAATTCACACGAGCATGCAGAAGAGGCGCGCGTGGCTTCCAAATCGACAGTCGACAAGGATATACGTATTATACATTGGGTATCGTTTACCTGTTTGAGAAAATCCTCGCTGCAATGAAATATCAGTTTCCTTAGGGAAACAGAGGAGGAAGTTTGTTCCTCGCTCGGTAACGAGCGACGACAAAGAGATGAGTCGGGGAAGAAATCGAAATCCTCGAAGGATGGCTCGACGGCGTCCGGAGACGAATGCCGGTTCTCTGCTTGAATTTATCCATTATAGCGATTGATCCAATTAGCTAGGGCTTCTTCCCCTCTATCCGAGAATGATCGAACGTCTTCAGGTTCATCGAGCACAAGGACCGTTGATCGGCTTTCGTCTGCCGAAGATCTTCCCTTGTTTGTCGCCTGCTGACCTGTCACCGTCGAACGTGGAAGGCCGGGTCCCGGGTCTCCTGCCTCCCGGTGCATTTCCCGATAAGTCGTATCGCAGGCCAAATGATGCCTCGTGACTCGTGAGAAGATTCTATCAGGGGGATGGTCCCATTCAGTAAGCGAGCGGTGTTTCGGTGCGGAATGACCGTACGCGCCTTGGGGCGAAGGAGATATGTCACCCGGGACGCGTTTCATCATCTCTCCTCAGTATGATGACTCGACTATGATGACGATGGGTTTTGATTGTAGATTGTCGCTTCTTATGACTAACTCCTCTCGGAGTTAAGTTCCTGCCTTTGAACCCCGGAAATGGGGATGAGATCGGAATCCGATTTCCACGCCTCTATCACGCCAACGGGAGGAAGTTTTGAGGCTTCTGCGGGGCTCGATAGAGGTTCCTGTGAACACGAGCGAGCAGCGCCGGTCAATCCAGACTATCCTGTCTGGAATGGCGAACCGGAGGAGCCGGAACCGGAGCCCGCGGATGGACGGAAGATCAGGCAGCTCGCTGAGAGGGAAATGCATCCTCGTGGTTTGTTGACGTTATTTGTCATCATACCAAACGGCAAAAAATTGAGCTGATGAAATTATCTCGGAGTCTTCAGAATGGACCCGAGAGCTGGTCCGCGGTCCAAGAAGTCTCCCTAGAGCTAGGAAGTTCCCGCGCGATAGGCTTGAGTTGTTCGTTGTCTGTGGGCTAGCTGTTTCCTATGGAATCCCATTTCCTCCGCGATTCTTCAAATTCGTAGCGTGTCGGATCCGCAAACCCAGCAACAAATGATTCTGCTTGATGTGAGCGATGCGAAGCTCGGCCTTCGGGGCTCGAATTTCGGAACGAGTTCCGTAGTGAAGGAGGACGTTATGGATCGCTCATTGTTAGATTCGCGATATTCGTTGCAGCCCAAGATCCCGTAACTAATAGGAGGAGATCCTGCGAATTGAAGAGGAGGAGCTTCAAAGAAGGGAAACATGCAGGAATTTCGCTGGGAGACGTCCTTTTATTCTCCGGGGACACCGCTGCTGACCGGTCGAACGGGACAGAGCGTTCACGGTGTGGGTATCCGATGAGTCTCTCATGGAGAGCTTCCAACGTGCTTCCCTGAGGTCTCCCGTGAGGTTTCCCGCCAGCCTTCTCGCGAGGTCTTCGGCGAGAAAACCTCGAGGTCTGCTGGACGAGACAAATTCAATATGAGTTCGACCCACGTAGGTACACTGACTCTCCGTGACTCAATGACGAGGACAATCATAGCCTCGGCGATTGCCGGAAACTTGATGGTGGGTTGCTTGGACACCATAGAATATCAGCTCGGAAACACCGGAATCAACGGCCGATGGCTTGCTCAGAGCTCAGGTGAAATACCTCTCAAGTAAGATTCATCCCAACTCCCCTTAGTTTATTGATAAGATGGTACAGGGAATCTCGTCCTTCAGCGCTGCGCTGGTTGAATTTATCGAATATCATACATGGCTGCTGTCAGAAAATTTTCGGACGGTCTCTATCTGATACAGAAGTCCAGCCTAGCCTATATAGACAGGGGAAAAACTTACATTTCCTCCGATTCGATGTTGTCGATTCCAGCTGTAGATGACTGGGGTTACGCCAGAAGAAGACACCGATTTTATTGACTTTCAGAAGCACATCAACAAAATCAATAGTCTTCCATGAAGCGAGAACCCTCGTGTAGCCGTCTCTGAGGTTTGTTGAAATCATATCAGGCTACCTACGTATATCCTGCACCGCTCCGGACTCGGGACCCGGATGTCCTACGTCGGACACCGATCTCTTGTACGGCCGTGCTCTATCCCTGGTCCGCTGCGCCTTTTCTGGAGTGAAACGGCCCGCTGGACGGCCGGAACGAATCGAAGTCTTGAGCTCAGTGCTGATCAAGGAAGATCGGATGAACACAATTCTCTTCGATATTGATATGCTCATACGACATGTAATTGTGAGCGTGGAAGATGGAAGCAGTCATCTGTTTCTTACCTCGATCCCGCTGCCACGAAAGGAAGGTCAGGTCGAGAACTTTCAAGGTGAAGCCTAAAGAATTCCGCTTAAGAATCGGTTCTCTACCCTCGACTCGGATTCTCAGATGTCATTCAGCGTCCTTCGGGACTCGCTCGTCATTATCGGAGAGGGGGAAGACGTCGCGTCGGACCGCTCTGATAAGATGAAAGGATTAGCGAATGAATCCCTGAGCTCGGCCAGTGTTTCCTCCAATCTGATCGAGCGGGCCGAGTGTCTTCTCTGCTGCCGTATCGTCGATCTGATAAGCAGCCTTGTGCGTCTCACGTTCATTCAACATTCCTCGTAGATAAATGATTTTTCATCATTATTCTGCATTCCTCCGAATCCATCAGAGCAGAAAAGGCGACGGGACAACCTTGTTTTATGAGGTGACGCAGTCTCCAACATACTATCAGTCTGTGATAGAGAAGCAGCTCTTGGGGCTTGAAATGAATAAGAGTGCAGGCTCGGACATAGGAGCAGTCTCTAGTGAAGGGGCACCTTCTGGACCCGGAAATCGGGTATCCATGTTCGAGAGACTCGCAAATAGCCACGGGAAAGATTCTGATAGATTATTCCGTTAAGCCGGCGTAGTTGTACGATGGGTCCTACGGTGTTCACATTCGAATGGAAGCGTGCTCCAACCTTATGCCGGGGAATGGGAAACATACAACGGTAGTCTCTGATATACGACTAGAATCTATGAAACGGGAAAAGACGTGCATGCTCTTCAATCAGAATATTCATGCGATTCGGTAGGATTCAGCGATTTCGTACCCGTGTGTCTTCCCTGCTAAGACTGTGGAGAGCCGATGTCTCAAGATGACAAGTTTCGCTCGAAGAGCTGCAGCCGGATAAGCGGCTGGTATTATCTATTGAAAACATACGACAGGCTCACCCTTAGACGATATTGACACAGAACTCGAACACTCCGCTGCGTGTCGTCCACGTATTCGAGCATATTCGATCCTTGTTTCCACAGAGCCTCCTTAGATGCGAAAGCGGCGAGTACTGGAGTCAAAGCTCTGGATTCGAGATCCACAAGGCGAATGAAAAGTGCCGATCGCTCTGAGCATTTCACGGGAGCCACTATTTCAGCAACAGGTCTGTTTTCCTCTTCCCTCGTGAAGTCCTCTCCGCCTTCGAGACCAATCACGAAGCTTGTCGTGTCCTCAGAGAGAGTCCTCGCTTCGTACTCCACGGCCTGTTGCCATAGTCTCAGAAAAACATTCGACACCCCACCCCATGAGGGGGAGTGATTATCCCCTTCGTTTCAAACCGCTATTCGGGCGAGATGGGAGCTTGTGGCGATGATCAGACGATCTCTCTAGGAGTTGAAACATGAGGGAGATCTGTCCATTATTCGCAACTACGATATTCGACTGTCTCATCCGCCCCTTTGACGCCTTGATGAAGCGATCGTTCCTCTTCATATGCAATCCGGGAGGGGAAGTGATTCTATCAAGCGCTAGCTCTGGAACTCGAGGCCAATTTCAACTAAGGACTCCTCCAAGATCAACTTGGACGGGGAGTTGGATGCGAGAGAAAAAACCTGAGACTCTGCCCGACACAAAAATTTGCTCCCATGACTGGTGGAGGTGAGTTCTCGACAAAAGCGACAGCCCGCCTCACACAAACTGTCGATGACGACTCTCTTCACGAATTGACGGAGCCTCTGACGAGCGATCTCATCAAAATTCAACCAGGTTCGACGTCGCACCTCGGCTAGAGCGTTGATTGCGAGTAGCTTTAATATATGCCGAGCGCTCGAATTCAGGATCAGAAGCGTCTGATAACATCTCCAGACACGCTCCGGTGCTCGCTCGAGCTGATAAGCAGAAATGGGTCGGTGGACGATGCCAGATATTCATCGACCGATCTCGGCCTATCTGCTTCGGAGTGAGCCTTTCTAAGAGACAGCTAGAGACTCTGCTTGCCGTTGATCGCTGAGTAGGCGACGACGATGACGGAATCGGTGTCGATACTCATGCCCTGGGCATGCTCCGGAGCGCAAGATATGATGGAGCCTCCCGAGCTGGACTGGCAGCAGCCTTCGTCTTCCTTTCCGGCAGACACTTCTCGCTGGATATCTTCTCAGTCTTGGACTCCAGGGTGGAAGCGAAAACGACGGCAAGTGTTCTCGGAATGTCCGGCACTGGCGAGTCAGGGGAGTATATTTCAGCGTCGAGTCGTCGTCGCCCCCCATTGGCGGGAAGCAGCTCCTCCGTCCCCCGAATGTCCTCGTATCTCATCCATGCATATTTGCATCCGATAGATACGGACCGGGTTCACATACTTATGAGATTCCAGCTCCCTGACGGTGGCGTATGCGTACCTCCAGCGCGGGGTCGTCGGTGGTCTCCGCGAGGGTCGTTGAGGAGCCAGCAAAATAATTCCCGGATTTTAGAGATCTACGATGATACGACTATTCATCCGATTGAAGCTCGGGACATTTCATGGACCAACTGGGATAAAAATTTCACTCCCTCTTACGGGGAAGCTGAATTCACTCCCCATGGCGTATTTTCGGTCAAGATCAAGGTATCAGATCAATCATCGAGGTACGATCAATGACGGCGCCATTAGCGGAAGGGGGAACTTTTCAACCATCTGATGGCATTGGTTCAAAAGTTCCCTAAGGGGAGAGACGGATTCTATTCCGTTTCATGCATCTGAGAAGCCGATTTGAAGGCGGGAGCTTTCCTTGGCGAGCCATAACGATCGGTCGATGAACAGCGTTTGGCAACACCGCCTGGAAATGCATGGGACGATCGAAGTTCTCCTAACAACCCCTCGGCCCCATAGAAACGCTCCCCTTGGTTCTTGATCTAAATACATGATAAGCAACGAGGCACCACTCAGGCTAGAGTGGTTGTGCTGCTATAAGGACGACACCCGACGGCAGTGACAACCCGAGTTTTCCATGATGCTATTTTTCCTCTCCGTTGTACGTATGAGGAGCTTCTCGGCGCTCGAAGCAACTCGACATCCCCGACCCTCATATGTAAATCGAGGACTACGGAGAACGGAGACTTTGTCCCGTAGAGGAGACCTCTACTCCCTCGACTCAGTCGTAATTCCCTCGAAAAAGCTGGACTGGAGAAGCCGTGGTCGGACGCATACAACAAACTAGACTTCAAATACAAGGAATTCGACGAAGCTCAGTCGCCGCCGAGACTTTGAATCAACGTGCACAATGCACGGAAGACGTTAGAATCGCGCCAACTAATCCTAGGCTTCCGAAGCCATGTGGGAGGATGCCATGAATGGAACCACTAGAGTACTTGAATATGAGGTTCGTCAAAAACTCATTCTAAGAAAGAATTCCGGCTCCGGGATTCGGGGGAATGTTCCGTCTTCTTCCCAAAAATGATCAGACTCAAATCTTCAGATCAGTAGGTACGCGACATGCCATGGAAATCCATCGAATTAGCACAGAAATTTGCAGAAGATCTCTAGAATGCCATATCATCTTTTCCCTATCAATTAGCGAAGCCGCACCGAGGAGCTCGAGGGCCAAGCGCGCCATTCGACGGCACGCCATTTCCGACCATGGCGCTCAGAGAGAGACAGAGGTATATCGAAAATCTCTCAGATGGGGTGAACAGCGCCACCCCTGGTGAGCTCACGCTCACGAAGCTGACGCGGCGTGTAACACGGATCCTTGGAACCAATGGGGAACGCTCAGCGTGCGATAGAGCTGGTGTCTCTCTCGCTGGTAGGGAATTCGGAACGGGATATAGTTTGGTGAGTTCGCACTTCAGTTGACGAGATGAAGGAGCTAACTTGAGTGACTTGTGATTTAATTCTATGACAGATTCGAAGTCTTCACAGATACATTTTGATCGATGGAACGCACGAGAATACCCTATCCATCCTTTAATCTCACTCGATTCCGCGACCGACAAACGGATCATCATTGCGTGACTTCGGATGCGCGTGCCCACATTTGAGAAAGGAAGCACATTAGACTCTACTGCCTTCGATTCTTGGATTCATGTTCAGAGATACAAACGGGATTGAGGAGAACAGTGATACGAAAGCGGCTTGTTTGGATTGCATTGGAGGTCTGGTCGACCATCGTTCGCGAGGAGGGTATTCCTCGAGAACACTCGGAGGCTCAGAGCGACTCTTCCCGGCAAGCTCGAACATCCGCGAAGCGCTTGTCCCTCAAGGAATGGAGAATCCTTCTCTGTTCCGCGAAGAGGTTGCGCATTGGCTCCCCGAATACTGCAGCCTGAAAGACGACGCGACGGGTCGACTCGCGGCAAGTTCGAGAATTCCGGAGCATCAGGGGAATTCGGCACGATTGCTTCCTTCGATCGAAACAGATAGGATCTACTTCTCGGAGTTCCTTTCCCGCAAAACCGCCACATTCTCTATACCTAGGGCTTTCTCATAGTGATTCCGAGAATTGAATTATGAGGGGAAACCGAATGATTCTCCAGCTGAAGCGTCCTCCGGTTCGTCAACGGAGTGATCGAAAGAATCAACCGCGGAGTACACGGGAACCATGCGCAACGACTTCCATGAATTCCCGCAATCGCAAGAACACACCCTTCCAAGACGGGGGGTGTATATACGGCTCACTGTCTGATAGTCCTGGAAGAAGGGAGCCGAGCCAGACTTCCACACCCGCGTATTCTTGCGCCGGAACGATGCTGAAATTAGACGATCGTCTCCGCTACGATGTGGGATCGCGGTGAGCAGGATTCGAAGGAGACGTCGCAGCCCAGAATACATATGAATAATATGTGTACCGAGCTCATTCACTCTGAGACCTCTCAGAACTCTAAACCACTTTTTCCAGTTCGCCGAGACTGCTCATTAGGGAATAGAGGCACCGAACTCATTCAGGGGTTGAGAACTCCCATAGAGCATATGACTCACCGGTACATTCGGTAGTTCCACCTCCGGCTCCCTCGATAACCGACAATATCTGCTAGCTCCGGGCTCTCATCGGGGTTTTCTGCATTTCACGGGACCATATTCTGCTCGCGCGATATCATCCTGGGCTTCGTCACGTCGCGGTGCAGATCGTAACAAGCCACTCCGAGCCAGGGGCGCTCCACGAAAAACCTCCTCGTCTTTGCGCTCCGAGGTAAGCTGGACAGCGTCGGTGCTCTCCAAGAGCTCTCGGAGTGATGGATTTTTTTTTCAACGGGAGCCCTCTTTCGTACATTTCCCGCCCAGTTTTCGATGTCGGACCCTCGAGCAGTGATGTAGAGAAGTAAATCGAGTAGGACGATCGGATACTTTCACCAGAAGTATCTCCAAGTTTTTAGCGCCAAATTTGAATGCATGTCACTGGCTCAACTGATAATCTCGGATCCGAAGGAATTCTCCCGGCCGGGAACTAGTCCCCAAGGATCATTTTCCGGTTTCGATTACGCAAAGGCTGGAAGAGGCGTACGCTACGGCGAAGGGACGTCGAGGAGAAAACGAATCGATCCGGAGACCATCCTCAACAATACAGGTGACACGAATCCGGCCCCCGCTCCTCCAAGGCGGAGATCATGACCACCATCATCATCATCATGCCTCCGAGGAGAGGAGACCCCTCCTAACCAGGCTCTTCTCGCGACTCGAGTTCCACAATTCGCAACTCATATTGAGCCTCTAAATTGGGCCGAGAGCCTCTGGGCGGATCCAAAAAATTGCCGGGATTGAACAAAGAATCTGGTCCCACCTACCGATTGAATGCAGACAACTGGAGCGCGGAATCGGGACCTGAGAGAGAAGTCGAGTTGAAACCCTTTGCTGATGATGATGATCTCCGATGACTTCGAGTTCGACCTAACGAGTCAACCTGATGAAGGGAAATATGCACCATCGAGAGTCAAGAGCGCTGACCGAAAAAGAAGCTGAGCACAGCAGGAGGTCGAGTTTGATTTTAGAACATTCACCGACGCTCGAGATCGACCAGTTTCGATTTCGGAGTGCCGAAGCGAATCGAGCTCTTTGTTCAGCATGCGAAACATTTTCATCCATCACTAGTGTTGCATCGAGCCCGGAGCTCTTCATCGCATCTCATTGACGTTCATCTTTTACTGTCTCCGAGAACATCCTGAATGAGGGAGCGGCCCAACTGCTACGGAGGCAGGAGGCGGACTCGTTGCAGGGATCCCCTGAATGCAAGAGCTCTTCAGCTCAAGGCGAGATGCACGATGGGCCGGTCATATGTATATCCTTATCGCCTCTGCAGAAGCATTTTGGAATCCATGTGAAACCGGTGGAGTCGGTTCATTCCGCCAACGGCCCCCTGTTGAGCTTTCTCCCGTCCCAGAGCCCGCCCTTCATACAGGCCTTGGTCAGGGGTGTGGCGTCGCGCCGTTGGCCAAGCATGGCCTTGAGCACCGGTCAGACTCTCGGCATCGAATGCGAGAGCCCGAGCGCAAGTTTCAGGAACTAGACGCCGAAGAGTTGTCTTGGAGAGTCGCCCGATCGACCCTTGACGCCAGACAGAGATCATCAGCGCCTTTACGAGCGGTCTAATCTCACACCATCACCATTCACCATAAGTCATCACCCGAAATATCATCCCCTTCGTTCTTTAGGAACGCTGATCCCATTCTCCATTACATCCTGTGCAGCGTTTCCTCGAAGGGCGCTCTTCCAGTCGGGAAAACGACGTTAATTCGTTATCCGTTCCTCATTGGAACAGATCTTAGCGCGTGTGTGAGTGGGTTCGATGTCGTCAGCTATTGTGGAGGAGCCACCTTTTAGAACACCACCCGTGTGATCATCATCATCGGCTCCACCGTCATCTGAGTGGCAGTGAGCTGTGGAGGATTTCAAGGAGCAGGCAGGGAAATTTCTGAGATCCGTTACTTAGTTCTTCCGGAATAGTCGACCTGTCTCATTGTTTGGCTTCTACTCTGACCGACGATCTAGCATATCTCGCAATGTCGAACTCAAGCTATCGAAACTCGAAAGCTGACAAACAGCTGCAGGATAAGATGCAGGCCCTTCTCAGCCATTTGCTCCGGGAAGAAGAAAATAAATACTGTGCCGACTGCGATGCCAAAGGTTAGTCATCCGGAGTTAACGTCCTATGATCATCCGTCGGGCAAGCTCCCTGTCAGGGATCATATCCACCGATTGTGTCGGGAGATGTTCCACTCGGACATAACCCCCGCGACTGATCATATTGTCGTGAAAGACAGAATTCGCTCGCGACGAGACAGAGCAGCTGGGCAGATCGTGTTTCCAGTTGACGTGACTCGGTCGGAGCCATATGATTACGATTCTTGCATTCTGCTTCGAGCGGAGCATCGCGGGGCACTCCATCCCTTCCGAGTTTACAAAGGCTGGCCCTGCTCAGGGATGGGGGACAAACTCCTCAAATTGCGGGCTTTTCTCTCGGACCTTGCAGACCACGACCCTCCGTGCCAGCTGTCGGAGTGTTGCACTCGGACTCTGGGCCTCGGAGCTCTCGTCGTCGTTGGACGATGGGAGAATCCCTGACTTGCCGCTGTGCCCTAAGCCGAGTGTGAGGCATTTTGAATCTTTTCATCTAAGCGTAGAACTCTACAGGACCTCGATGGGCGTCATGGAACCTGGGAATTTTCGTTTGCATAAGGTGTGCCGGCATTCACAGAAATCTCGGAGTGCACATCTCGAGAGTGAAATCGGTCAATTTGGATTCGTGGACCGATGAGCAAGTGGGCTCGATGCAGAAAATGGGGAACAGCAAAGGTAAGCCCTGAAATACTTGATGTAGATCGGTACGGATACGACGACCGAACTCGCTGCCCCGACACTGGGATCGGGAACGGCCGGCATCTCTCCTGACACTTCTCATTCTCCCGTAGGTCGGGCGGTGTACGAAGCTAATCTACCCGATGGGTTCCGGAGACCCCAAAACGATTCAGCCCTGGAAACTTTCATCCGTGGAAAATACGAACACAAAAAATACATCGCCAGAGAGTGGGTTCCTCCCACGAAACCTCATAAGGCCGACTTCAGCGTCCTTGGGGGAAGCGCACCGACGTCGAGAGCTTCCGACAAGAAGATTGAATTAAACGCCGTCGCGAGCTCAATCCCGAGACCCAATTCATCAGGAAACATCAAAGACATGTCGTCTCCGAGCTCGCCGAGTCAAAAATCGCCGACGACTGCGTTACCCAGTGACGATATATTCGCGGATTTCATATCTGCGCCTCTGCCAGCTCCTGTCTCTGTGGCTCCGGTCGCCGCATCGACCGAGGAGAAAGACTTCTTCAACCAGGTTTCGGCTGGCTCAATAACGAATCCCATATCTCCGCAGCCGAATAGCGGAGCGGCCTCGCGGATAGACAAAGAGAGCATCCTATCATTGTATTCAAAATCCATTCCGGGTAGGAAGTTGTCGCTACTGCTACATCATATTCATGGCCCGATATGGAGATGTCCCTGAGAGACATATCAACAGGCATATTCCTCTCTACAGGTCAGCCCTCGATGCAATCGCTCGGTTCACACGCAGCGAATCCTCTCGTGAGTGCCGGTATGGGAATGCCCATGAGTCAGCAGGTGGCGAACAATCCATTCCTGGCGGGAGGCATGGTAAACACCCAGTCTTCGTACGGCTTGGGTCTGTCAACTCAACAGGGTTACCGTCCTCTCCCCCACCAGCAACAGCAGGTCGTGCCTCAACAGTTCCAGAGTTCGATGGGCAACAACCTTCAGATGGCGAATTTCGGTGCGCCCTCCAACGGGATGGCCGCCGGACAACAGTCCAATGTAGGGGCTGTGAACGCTCAGTTCGCCGGTCTTCGAATGGGCGACCCCGCTGGGGGTGGCTTTCCGACAGCTCAACTCAATCCTAACGGGAATAGTCCCTTGACGTCAAATCTGTGGCATTAGAGATCGTCGATCCTGAGGAAACCGAATCGAGAAACAGCTCCCGGGTCGATCTACGAGATATTCTGGGGATGTTATGAATCCGAATGGGACTTCGACCCGCAGAACCTACCACTTGAGCTCGTTTTTGGTCGGGAAGCATATTTTTTCAGCCCCTAATCTCGAGGGCGACTTTCGCTACGATTTCGACGCAGCATGCTATACGCTGTTGTACATACAGAGGAATCACCGGACAATGTTGGAAGCGAGAAGCGAGTCGATGTGTATACAAATTATTATATTTATATACTCTAATTCACGGGAGTTCCATCTATCAACAGTCTCCGAGGGCTCGTTAGAATGTGAACTCTCTCGCCCAGGGGCGGTCCTCTTTGTCTGCGATATTGATTCGGATGCGATCATGGTCCCTCTCTGCTACAAGTCTTGCCATCGTCGTTAACCTCGCGGAGTACGGACTGAGGACTAACTGAATAAATAACGTCAGCGTTGTTGACTGCTTACGAAAGGTGTTCTTTCTATATATCGGATGCGATTTCGAGGCAGCAGAGCCCTGGATCGAAGCTTCTCCAACTGCCGAGCTCCACGCCACGGAAGCTGACCGCATAAGGTGTCCGTTGACCCGAGTTCCGGAAATGGGCAGCAGATGCAATACGCGTTTCCCGAGGCGCGAACTGAAAGAATACTTCGCTCGCTCAAACGATCAACCCGAGCAGTCCGCGCTGATACCACAACAGTGAACAGCTGCCGAAAAGCTGACATCATATCCAAGGAATGACGCCGTATGGTCGTATGCCCACCGGGTGCGCTTTCCATGGCGGCAAACTTATCGACGCGGTGTAGGTATAAACTCAGATCAAACCAGAAGACCGCTACGTGGTACAAGGTGACGTGCGATCATCGTCGACAGCATAATCCTATCTCAAAGATATCGCAGAAGAGACCGATATCCATTAATGAAATTAATCAACATCATTGGGAAAGTCATGCCGAAGCACGGAATTCAATCAAATATCGGTTGATCTTGCTCGAGATGACGACTCCGAAACGAGGGGAGGGGTTCTCATCGGGGCAGCTCGCTAGATTTTTGTGGGAAAACAGTTCCTGATATAAGAGTCTTGCTGAGAATGTCTTTCCTGAGGCTTTCCGCACCGCACGAGAGGTCCCTCAAAGATTCGCTCCTCGACAGGCGCGGCGATAGACATCCACCGGAATACCCGTGAGAAAAAGTCAGAAATGAGCACTTTCGCAATCCGTTTCGGACTCACACGACATCTGTATCCACAGAACTTCGTGCAGCCGAATTCGATCCTCGACGGGCTCCCCGGAACTTTTCTCTTGCGCGGAACCCTCTCGTGGAGGTTTAACCCCTCGCAGGGGCATTGAATTAATCCCTGCGGGGTCAGCGGGTCCATGTACTGGGGGCATGGACCCGCACGTGCTAGGGGCATGTGCT